CATGGGAGAAATGAGAAAACTGATAAAAACGTAGCTCACTTTTCTCAGAGCACAGTAACTTTCCTTGGTGAGCTCAGTATTAGAAATTTGTCATTTTACTGAACAGAAAATACATAATGTAAGTAATAATGTGAATGTTCTTGTTGCTTGTATAACTACTGAACAAGCAAAAGATAAGTGGATATTTCAGAAACCTCTGGAATGTGGCGGTTGAGAAGATAAAGCCTTGCTTAACTGATAAGAGTTCTGGTTAAAAAGAGTATTTAGATGGAATAGGTAAACAGAAGATCTTGATGTAGCAAAAATTTAAGGCCATATGAATTACTAAGCCCAGAACCGTGCTAAGCATTACATTAGATTTCCTTTTTCCTCAAAATAAGATACCTCTTCTGTGCTTTTGCTTCCAGTTCTGGGGCAGGGAGAAAGCGTAAAGTATGGGGGCAACTGACTTTCATTTCAAAAACCGGTGGAGATAGATTAGGACGCGTATCATCCCTCAGTGTTATTTACATAATGCCAATAAAAGCATGAGCAATACCAAAAGCAGCTCACAACTCATATTTAGGGTTTGTTTTTCAGTGCCTTTGCTTCACCTGTGTCATGCTACTTGTGTTACTTCCTTGGACAGAGACATAAACAGGATGCATGGCAATTATCAAGACTCTTGCAATCTTGGGGTGTAGGCTTCTGTTTTAAATATTTATTAATTAAGCAAACACAGTTTGTGTTTCTTTAGTACATGCTGTAAGATCACACCAAGTGCAACATGACTGTTGCTGCAATGTAGACAAAACGTGTTCCTGGAAGCTGCTATAATATTCATATGAGTGCATCAACGTAATGTTCACTTGCTGCTACCTTGGACTGTCACAGAGTCATAGAATGGTTTGGGTTGGAAGGGACCTTAAAGCCCAGCCAGTCCCACCCGCAGCCATGGTCAGGGACACCTTCCACTAGACCAGGTTGCTCCAAGCCTCATCCAGCCTGGCCTTGAACACTTCCAGGGATGGGGCATCCACAGCTTCTCTGGGCAACCTGTGCCAGTGCCTCACCACCGTCATAGTCAAGAATTTCTTCCTGACTGTCATATAACTGACTATCAGTACAAAGAAATGCTCAATTGCTTCAGATAAGTCTGCCTTTTCAAATCAGCAGCTCACGTTAGGAGGGATTTTGAGCACAGAATTGCGCTTGTTCCAGTGCAGCGAGTGCATAGGCAGGTGGGGAGCAAGAACTTCCCCGTATGCTGGAGTTGACTGATATTTTGACCTTAAACAGCAGTGGTTAACCAATCTAATGAAACCTTCCATCGTCAAGCACTTTTCTGGTTAGCTTTACAGTATTTGCTTGCTCCTAAATACTTGCATGTATTGACCTATTCTGTTACCATCACTGACATGCCTCATTGCAGATCAGGCTGGAGGTAGGCGAGGACCTTCTTAGAAAAATACCTGAGTTCTGAGAGTGCATATGTGCAGCACATAGAGGAAAACAATGAAGAGTATTTGACTTAAAAAACACTCTGTAGGTCTAGAGGATGTGGAAAATCCTGGATTTTCCACACAAAACATGGGAGAGGGAGGATGTGACAGAGGAAGAACAGAGGACAAGGCAGAAAAGGAAAAAACACTGAAGGGGGAAAAATAAACAAGGGTGGGTGGAGGTAGCATACCAGAGGAGACAAACTGGCAGAAGGTGTACTCGAGGCATCCTTAGTCATGCAGTTCTGTGGGGCAGTTTGAGAACTGAGCATTCAGCAAGGCCTTCTTTAGGGGCAAAGGTATATTAACAGAAGTCAAGCAAAGCAACCCATCCACTGCTCCACCTTGCATTGAGCAAAGTTTTCTGATTGTAAATCCGTCCTCTAAGAGGAGGCATCAGGTTAGCCCCTTTTTTGTCAGGGCATATGCTGAACCCTGAAACAAGTGGTCATTAGTGGAAATTAAGAGCTACCAATGAGAGAAGGGGGGAGTAGAAGGTAAGCATAGCTGGAATGGAACAGGAAGGGAAAAGGCTAAAGAAATATGAGAGCAGCTGTTTGTATAGCTGTTGGTTCACACAGCTTTAAATCAAGGAAGAACTGTACTGAAATTTTAACAGGTGCTTGCCTGGGGATTGTGATATGAGGGAGGAATAAGGAGGAGGCAAAAGCAATATCCTGTATTTTAAGTAGCTCATTGTAGAAGTGGAATGCTCAACAGATGATGGAGATTCTTTTAACCTTCTGAAAGAGAAGTGACAAAGGCCTCTTGGGAGGCACGTTTAGCATTGTTGCAAGAGAAGTGTAACCAGTCTGGCTTTGTGCATACTTAATCCTGCATGTACTGCCCATTATGATGTAAATTTAAGTTTGTTGTCTGTGAAGTATATAAGTGCCATGGGTGATTCTCCAGCTGCAAAACCATTGGTCTGAATTTGTAGGCCCTTCTTAGAGGGGAAAAAAGTCTTCCAAGCATTCCTTCAGAACGTGTTTATAATATTCTAAAAATAAGGAACTTGGTCATGATTTTCATACAGAGCTCTGCAAACAGCATTTTAAACAATTCTGCTAATGTTTCAGAGGCACAAAGGATCTTGGTAGTTGCTGGTATTCAGCTGTTCACCTCATAAATAATGATCATGAGTAAAGGGTATGGATTTATGAATTCAGTGTCTGGTGCCTTAGTAACCTCTAAACAAAGCAATTATTCATTTGGCTATCAGGAAGATGGAAACTTGTATGTAATCCCTTTATCCAGATGCAGGGGAGGAGCTGTGATGAAACTATCAAAGAGACTCTACAACCCGGGAAGCAAATGAACGCAGAGTTTTGAGTCATGTCCCCATCTAGTTTCTGTATTTTCTTTACTCTCAAAAAATCAGGTGTGGGGTTTTTGTTTGTACACATCCAACAGCAAAACAAAAACCCCAGTAATACAGAATTATGAAACTTCTGGTTATCAGGATATGAAGCTTTGCGTATGATATTTTGAAAGTGCTAAACGATAGCATGTATAGGTAGGGCTGGCTTCCCAGTGTTTTTCCATTAAGTGGTTTTAATAAGGCTTTATTTGTAAATGATTGCTTATAGCTTTGTTGTTCTTTGCCTGAAATGTTCTTTATCAGGTGTCTGCTCCTTGACTGTTCCCCTCCCAGCCCTGCATGCACACACCCAACACTTCAGCAAAATGATTAAGCTATTAATGGTACAGTAAAGGATAATATATAGGATTAAGAGTGTTGAGAAAATCTGTCAGTGCCATGTGGGAGGGACACAGTGTAAAACAAATGTCTATCTTTACCCATCCTTCTTAATGCAAGCTAAAAACTGGAGGTGCCACTGCTTTAGGCTGCAGATGCTATCATCACCCTCTGTCATGGGAAGGACTGGAGACTCTCTAGGATACAGCTGCAGATGGATATAAGATGCTGAGCTTCGTCTCTTCAGTCTGTTTGCTGTCAAAGAGAGTATTTAGACACTGCTTAGACGCTTAATTTAGCCAAGATTCTCAAAGTTTGTCAGTTTTCATACAGTGTCACTACTGAACAACAAAACCAAACCAAACATATTCTATGGTCAATGTAGTGAATTTTCTCAAGTTTACACATATTCTGGTATGTGTACCACACATACCTAGTGTGAGAGAGAAAGTTCGGTAAAATTACCTGTGACTGGCCTTTCAAAGACAATGGGCAAAGCTAAGAAGTAACAGTTGTCTTTCCAAGACTGTGGCTTTCGAATTTTCTATTTGGAAATAATGACTGATGTTAGGTTCCTAGTTTTAATTTTCTATTTGGAAATGACTGATGTTAGGTTCCTAGTTTGCAAACATTCAAAGTTTGGTAAGAGTACTGTACTTTTCCCTTCTTTTTAAAAAGGCATGATGTGGATGTCTTCATGTAAGCTAGTTGTTTAAATTCTTTGTAATCAAGAAGATAAATTAGTATTTCTGGAGACTGACTCATTTCAGATGATTGCTACAGAAGGATGTTTCTCTGGGTTGGTTAGAAGGGAACCTAGGTGAGTAGTCAGGCCAGGTGGTTACGTCTGACCTTGCAGATACTTAGTATGCTGAGGGAAGGGAATCCTACTGGTTGCACGAATACTATGAAGTGGATTGATAAGGTGAATAAGAGGAGTCTGTTGCAAAGAGTGCCTTAAAGTAAGACACACAGTTATTACAAGTATGTTTTACAAATGTCTGGAGATCATTTGAATAACAAATGTAGTAATTTTAAAAAAGCCTTTGTATTTACCTATCAAGAGCTGATTTCAAAGTTTTATCCTGCTATGATAGTTAACAACACCGGAACACCCACGTCAATGCTTTGTCATAGCTTTGCTTTGGCTCTTAGAATGTCAATTCTACAACTGTAAGAGAAATGCAGCCCTGAAATGAATGTTTGATTGCTTTGGAGGTCCTCAGTTAGCTTTAAATGCAAACTGAAATTCTACTTTTTTTATCTCCAAGATAAACATGTTTTCTGAGCTCTCTATAAGGAACCTTGCCTAAAATGTTTTAATTTCAGTTTCTTCTGAGAACTTTCTAAAATTTTTCATTGAACTTGTGAATGTTTATATTTCCTGCAGCGCAGGGAGTTTGGGGAGTGAGGGGCAGTTCTGTGGTTGCATGAGTTTGAAGGGGACTGTGCACGCTGACAGTGCTCTAGAAGAATGCAGAGAAGTAGCATATGCTGGTGAATGAAAATAAGACAGGATAACATTTTCTCTCACATGCCTCTACCTCTGCTTGCACAAATCCAATCTGTTGTCACTAGCTGTACCTATATCCCTTCCATTAAAACCAGACATCTCTATCAGTTATAAAACTTGTCACTGATCTTCCCAAAAACACGAAGGTTGACACTTTGGCACCAAAACACTTGGGAATCAGTGTTCTTAGGTACTGTTGTGCTTTCATTGTAGTTGGCTCTCCTGTCCCTATGTTGCTGGTTTTTTGTTTGTTAGCTTTTATTCTTGTACTGATTTTAAAATAACTTTTTATTTATTTACTTTTAAGGAGCTCTACCATGTACCAAATGGCATGTCTCCAGGGAAGCTCTCTCATGGGATGGTGTATGGTGTCGTGCACCGAACTGACAACAACCATAAGAGAGAAATGGTGGTTTATGGCTGGTCAGCTGATCAGCTGAAAGAGGAGATGAATTACATCAAAGAAGTGAGTTATGCTTTCAACTTCAGAATTTGTCAAATGTCTCTTCCATATATTCATGTACTGCTGTGAGTGTATATGGTGCGAGTGATGTCTAGCCCAACACCTGAATTTCAGTTGCGAACCTACTCTGAAGCTCAAGGCTTGCATTGTTAGTATTCAAGTTGGGAAAAAAAGCATGCTATATACACCTGAGAACTCTGTGGTCCAGACTCAAGTTCCTCTGTGCCATGGCATACTTGTTAATGCTTGCTGACTGGGCTATAGCTGGGCAAGCAAACTGCCAGACAGATCTTGGGGTTCCTGTCCTGAAGCCTTCATAATTTCACATGTCATACAGAAGAAACTGCAGATACCTGGAAGGATAAACTCTCTCCTCTCTTCCTCTGCTTCCTCCGTCACCAAACTCCCCAGTTTTGAAAAGGCTCCTGAATTAGGTGACATAGTAAAATCACTTGGGTATATTTTGGGGCAGCCTTTAAATAGTCAGCCTAATAAGGATGACTTTGTACTACTTTCTCTGTGCATGGCCATTTATAATAATTGGCAGAAGGTCTCCTGAAAGGAAAAAAAAAAAAAAGGCATTTCTGGTGCTGCTGGTTTCTGTACTTGAAATGTAGCATCTCCTTGCCTGTCAGTCCTTGGCATTTAGGCGTTGGCAGTAAGCTCCTAATTAGCCAAGGGCAAATAATCTGACCTTCTCTTTCCAACCACCTTCACCACCCAGGAAGCTATTGGTCAATGGCTATTGTGTTACACTGATTCAAGTGCAAACTGAGTTGATATAAAAGGGAAGAACACTGAGCCAGCAGTGTAAGAGACTGTAATTATGTGTGCTCTTAACATCTGCCTGGGCTTTAGCTATCAGCACTTGCTACTCTCCTTTATTACTCACAGTTCGTTAGCCGTTCACTACTCCGAGTTCTGCGCTCACAGTTGGGCTGTGTCACTACTGTGGTGCAGGTGAGGCACAGGAGTTGCCTTGGCTGCTGGTTTCCTGCCTGGGTAGTTTATCTACCCTGCTGGGTGGTGCCCGGGGATGGGTGAATTGGCATGCAGTAGGTGTGCTGTTTCTGATAGCTGGCTAAGACTGCTTGGAGCAGGACTATCTCCCTGCCCTTTTCTGTGCTGGCGCTTGCTCTCCTGTATTCTGGAAGCAGTGTTCAGCTGTGGTAACTTGTGAACTTTGGTCTGCCAGAGAAGTTTCATCTTTAAACATAGAGTCTTAAACAAGACTCCTCAGCTTGTGCCACTTACGTGCTGACTTAAACAGACCAAGCCTGATGGGCCACATCAGAACTGCTGTATCTGAGTCAAATTTGCACCTTGCAAAAGGGGGTGTGTCTGTGTATGTGTGTATATGTGGGTAGGGACAGGGCGAGGGGTACTTCCCTGAGGTGAAGTGCCAGAGTCAGCTTCTTTCCATGTTTCTCATCCTAAAGGGAGCACATAGTTTGGGGAAGCCTTGTGTCTACTCCTTGCATAGGTTTGGTGGCCAATGCCCCTCTTTCTGTGAGGGAGTGGGTATACTGCAGAGCTGCTAGAAACATCCCCTCTTGTGTTAAGGCCCTACTAATGTTTTCCCCTCGCTCTTTCCCCAGGCCTATGCAGTGATGAGGTCAGCCTTAGATTATCTGCAATCCGTCTGTGTTTGACAGGGGGGGGAGGGGGAAGGAGTTTGAATTATGTAGCTGGAGGATAGACTGTAGGCAAGTATTTAAGTAGTGTTTACAATGTGTGCTCTTGAGAAGAATGGCTCTGCGCATGATTGCAATGGCATGTAAACGCCAACTAGCTTTTTTTTCCCTTTCTTGTTTTAGGAAGGCAAGGTATAATTCATCCATAATTCTTAAATAAAATCAAATTGAGTACTCTCTTTATTGGACTGGTAGATTTATTCTAATATATTGTTTAGCTAGATAAGATCTTAGAAGTCTGAAATGGAAGGGTTTATCGTCAAAGGATATTCAGGGAAAACTAATTAACCACTTCAAAAAGTATGAAGGTGTATTAAGTCCATGTATGGATGTTTTTTTTCCAAAAGAAAACATACGCTCAAATTAAAAATAATTCCTTTATTAATTGTGTTAGAATGAATTACAGATAATTTAATTGAAATTCATGATTTAAATTATTATTTTGCATGTGTTTAAGTGTGGCTAGAGAAGCTCAGAATTACTCAGAGATGTTTATTTGTATCATTCCTACGTAGATAAATCTTGAGACTTAAGTTTTTGTCTTGCTCTTAAGAGTAAATTGCTGTTGATGAAAAGGTAGATTAGTAATGGAAATTACTGAAAGTAACAATGAAGGACTTAGAAAAACCAATCCTGTCCTAGTATAAACAATATCATCAATAAGTTTTATAAAGGCATTTGATTTTTCTGATGTCAGGTGAGAGCAACTCTGGAAAAAGTAAGAAAGAAAATGTATGGTGAATATGATGAAATGAAACGGAAAATACAGCAGCTTACGAATGAACTGAAGGTAAGTACATATTCACTTGTAGGGAAGCATATGAGAATAAATGTCCCAGTCTTACCCAGAAACCTTTTTTTTCCCTTCAGCAGAACAGAAATGATTTCTCAAACCACTTCAGTTCATTGTTTTATGTGACTTCTAGACATTTATTTATCTATTTATTCCTCTAGGAAGGTAAGCTAGGATAGGGATGCTTTTGCATATGGAGTTGCTAAATGCCTGCTTCTTGGAAATAAAAGAATGATCTTGATAGCATTGTCTATGTGCACTGGTTATTAGTGGAGATGTTTGTACCAGTAAGCTGCCAAGTGAATGAAATAACCTAGGTAATTAGGAGTAATGTGCAACTTAATTGGTGTAATTTCAACAGACTTTGCTCTCTTTTACTGTCTGTGTAGTTTAAAGGCTATAGTAAAAGCAGGAGCAATATTCTTTAGTATTGAAGTGTGTGACAGGTCTAAAAACGACTTGCCTTTTGGTTCTTAATTGAACCTTTCAGTGGTCATTTGATGACCTCTCTTTTTTCTGACATGCTGCTTTAGCAATAAAAGCTGCTGCAGTCTGTAGAAGTATCCTTCATATTAAACTGCTGAGTTCTTTAGTCCAAAAATATATCTCTGAAAACTTGCTGTGGATTCTGTATTGAACATTGATTTTCACAGCCCTGGTTCAGATGAATTGTTGGCAACTAAACACATATGAATTGTTGACAACTAAACACATTCTGACTTCAGGGGACTGGGACCCTCACTTGTGCTCTTCTTGCCATCCTCATTTGGAGACTGTCAGTTGTCTGTATGCTGTATTATGTATGAAGATCAGAACTTGCTGTTAAACTGGTACTTCTATTCTGTGACAACTAATCTCAAAAAATCTTGTCTTTGCTGCTGATACTTAGTGCATAGTGGTGGTGACATCTGCACTTCCAGATCGTCTGTCAGACCAGTGGAAGTCCTGCCTGAGTCTGAACGTCTCCCTCAGTGAAGGGTTTCTGAACAGCTCTGACAGAATCTCTAGACCTGCAGCTAATTAGCAGTATGAAGTACTGCTCCTGACATAAATGACACATTATGAGACACCATCCCCCCTTTTTTAATACTTTATAGTGCCTGAAAGAAAGCGCCACTGGTGTTCTACCCAATAATATGCGGGTGTTTTCTGGTTTGGTTTTGTTTTACATGACTGCCATCTTTCATGCTATTTGGGGATCCTGTTTAAAATCCTTTATATATTCTTTACTTCAGCTTTGAATCACTGTGCTCTTTTCCCATCAATTTCCAGGACTAGTTTTTGTTCATGAAGTTTATTTGAAGCTTGTACTTCCAATACTCTGCCCAGGGCAGTATGCTTCTTCACACAAGTCCTTCTCTTGTAACTTTCTTACTCCATCTAAGGCATTTCTTCATTTGTTTGTTTGTTTGTTTTTATATGAGCACATCATTATATAGGGTTAACAGTAACGACTTGGCTTCTGCTCCCTATGCTGACCTAATCTGAGTATGACTTGGTTACTAAACACTAATTGTTCTCCATATCAGTCCCTAGTGTTCTTCTACCAGGGAACAAGTCTGATCCATCTAAGAATGTGAGTTGGGCTGGCCTCCATTAGTAACAGTTTTTTTCTCTTTATTATTGGATGATTCATAATCATTTGCACTGTTTGGGTTTTGTTCTCTTCTTAAATGATGTAATTTTGTGCCTTCTTTTTCCCCTTCCAGTTTTTAAGCATGTGTATGTACATAACAGAAGATGACAAATTTTCATACAACAAAGCTCTCTTACTTCTCCTACCTGCTTAGTATTGTTTCATCCTTACATCTTCTTGATGTTGCTTCTTTATGTACCTGATTAGTCAGTTCCTTCTTAAGGCTATTCTACAGCTCACCCAAACCTTTCTAATCTCCTCACTTCTTGTATTCCTCTGCTTTTCACTATGACTTTTTACAATCCACCCACTCTTATGAATATTAGCTTTCTGAATAGAAATCTGCCAAGTGTCCTCTTCTTTCAAAAAGGACAATGACTAGCAATAAACATAGATACTTATGCCTTACTTCTGTTAGCATGTTTGGATTCTGAGGTCTGGTTGTTCCTTTCCGAGGTGCAAGAATATGGTTTGAGGCCGGTATATTGTAAGCATCCCAGTACTGTGAAAATTAACCATGGGGTCTTTCTCTTATATAGGTCCCTTTGAAAGAATAGGTAAACTTGATCATTATTCTATATAAAACTTCTCTCTTTTTTTTTTTTTTTTCTGCTCAGGTGACAAATGCTCATCAGGAATCCTTAGAGAATCATGTGCGAGTGCAGGCTGCAGCCTTAGATAGCTTTAGTGAAATGAACAGCTCCTTGACATCAGCATCAATAGACTTGCAGGTACATTTTAATAGCTGTTTCACAGCTGACAACTGCCTTTTCTGACATGGATTTAAAAGCATACATAAAACATGCATGACAAATACAGATTCTAACACTTAACAAGCCCATAAAGTACTGTCTTATATATCTAAAGTGGCTGATTTAGGTAACAAAAACATTCCAACACCTCTGTCTTTTAAAAACCTGTTAAAAATAGCGTATAATAAAGAGATACTAATCTGCAGCTGACTGATGCCCCATGTCATGTCTCTACGAAATACCTAAGGTGAAAATGTGGTTTCTCCTGCATCATGCAAAATGGTACATCTCCTGACTTATTCCTACCTCCACTGATTAGCAGAAATGGAAGTGGCATGTTTGGATGCTAACCACTTATGAGACGTTACATACCTGTGAAATGTAAGGGAGGGAGAAGGTGGGAATGAATTTTCTGTTTTAAAGGCTTCCAAATTCTCATGTATGTGAACTGATCAACATAATGTTCCTGCTTTCTTGTATGTCACACTGTAGTGCTTTCAATATGTATAGCATTGGCTCTTGGAGGGAAGAAAGTTTGTTGAGAAAAGCATTCATAATGAAGTGCATCCATGTTCCTTTCTGGTTTTTGATAGGACTTCATTTCACTGGGCATGTTCCTCATGGAAATACCTTCTAGCAGACTAAATAAAACAAAAGCCATAATTTTAAATGTTAAATCTTGCTAAACTCTTCACACTGCATTGATGTATCAGGAAACTGTTAAATGTTCTGTCTGTTCCATAATCTCTTCACTATATTGGTTCACCAAATTATTTTGGATTTTTAACACGTGATTTGCCTCTTTCTCCTAGAAAACCCTAGTGGATGTTACATTGGAGAACACTGATATAAGGGAACAAATAAGGAATTTAAAACATACACATGAGCAATCTATGGAAAAGCTGAGAGAGAAGCAAAAGCAACTGGAAACAGCACAAATTGAAAATCAGTTACTGAAATTAAAGGTGCAGTATATAAACTCTTCTAAAAACACTGCATGTTCAGGGCATTAAGAGTATGTTAAATTAATTTCTTGGCCTTATTTTTAAAGGGTTCTGCGTTCTTCATGCCTTCATTATTCCCTAGAATTGATACGCTCCTATCAATCAATACTGTTTAATAAAAAGCATCTCATCTGGCTGGTCAGTCTTCCCATAAAATGGGATTTCCATTCAGGGATGTTGGCAGGTGAAAATTCAAACCATTAAATGGTTATTAGTGTCTGTTGCTGTAAGTAAGGAAATAGTATAACTCTACACTGTAGAGTTGTATGTATAGTTGCTATAAAAATGTCTTGATGTTGAATTTGTTTATTTGGTATGGCACAATTTAACAGATTAATAGGTAATCTGTTAAATCTTGGGAGCATATGGTCAGCAGATACATGTTGTAACAGCAAGTTACAGCTTGGACAGTCTTGGGAAGAGAATTAAGCTATTTCTTTCAGAGAAATACAAGAGAATAAAATGCAAGCTGGAAGGTTTTATATGCCAGAAAGCTTGACTGTTTTCTCCCCTCATCTACTGACTCTATTCCTTTAATTCCATTAAAAAAACCCCAAACCCCAAAACCCCAAAACAATCAAAAAAACCCCAACCCTCTTCTGGAAACATTTGTCTCTCTCAAAATTGCTCAAAATATACTAATTTGAATAGTACTGCATCAGAATTTGTCACTGTGAAATTAAGGTGACTACTGGTTTATTCATGTTTAATTTTCTCAGAGATGGTTTCTTTTTGGCTCTCTAGCAACTGGCATTCATGTTTAATAAAGAATGGTTAAAAGGTTAAACATAAGTGTATTTCAACTTCCAAGTCACATTCTAGTTTTCTGTCATAGTGAAGCTTTACAGGCTGTAAAAGCAGCTGTATTTTGTACCTGCTATTGTCAGCAGGGAATAGAGAGAGGGAAAAAACAATTAAAAGAAGAAAGCAAGGCTGGTGCAGTTAAGATTTCAAGACTATAATCTTAAGGACATGCACCAACTGGTCAAGGAGGGTATGTCTGCTTCTAAGGGCAGAGAACAGCAGGTTGTCCCACTTCAACTGAATGCCTAAGAATTTGTTTATCTTCAAGCGTGTCAGCATCTACGGAATACATGCCCTGCCTTAACGAGGAAAAAGTTTAAATCTTGCCCTCAAAGTTGCAGTTTTATTAGGAAGTTAGTGGATGAAATACCTCATTGCTGTCTTTGAAAGTTAAATAGAAAACTGTGTATCAAAGATGCCAAGACATAGAATCATAGAATCATAGAACGGTTAGGGTTGGAAGGGACCTTAAAGATCATCTAGTTCCAACCCCCCTGCCATGGGCAGGGACACCTTCCACTAGACCAGGTTGCTCCAAGCCTCATCCAGCCTGGCCTTGAAGACATCCAGGGATGGGGCCTCTGGGCAACCTGTTCCAGTGCCTCACCACCCTCTCTGTGAAGAATTTCTTCCTGATATCTAATCTAAACCTTCCTGATTTCAATTTGTACCCATTACCCCTTGTCCTATCACTACAGGCCCTTGTAAAAAGTCCTCTCCCAGCACCCTTGTAGGCCCCCTTCAGATACTGGAAAGCTGCAATGAGGTCTCCTCGGAGCCTCCTCTTTTCCAGGCTAAACAAGCCCAGTTCTCGCAGCCTTTCATCATAGGAGAGGTGCTCCAGCCCTCTGATCATCTTCGTGGCCTCCTCTGGACTCGCTCCAAGTGGTCAATATCCTTCTGATATTGAGGGCTCCACAGCTGGACGCAGCACTCCAGGTGGGGTCTCACCAGAGCAGAGTACAGGGGCAGAATCCCCTCCCTCGACCTGCTGGGATTTAATTCCAGAGGTGCATTGTAGAGGACAGTGTGGAGGTTAGCAGTCAAAAGGCAGTTAACTGCCATATGCTGTGGTAATTTTCTGGGTAGGAGAACACACCCCTTTATCTTATTAAGTAGGTTCAGTTTATTCATACAGTCGTAACAGTAACTGAGGTTGGAGGCATTGCTTCACAGTACTGTAACACGCCCTGATGCATCTACCTTTCAATGCTTGTTTTTATTCTCCTCATGGCTCAAGTGCAGGTTACTACCTCTGCCCTAGTGTTGGCCTAGGTGAGATGCCAAAGGGGCAATTGCGGTACAAGTGGAGTCTTTCAGAGTTCAGTCCCTTTTCAAAGGATGAAATACACTGTTAGTCTACAGGATAGTAAACCAGCTTGTTCCCACCATGCAAGATAAACACAAGGGTTTCAATCTGTCAGTCCTAAAAAAACCCAAAACCCACAAACAAACAAAAAACCAAACCCAACAAACCACTCAGACCCCAAAACCTTAATCATCAGGATCAGGTATTTTGTAGCTGTGTGAACTGTAGTGATCAGCAGTGAACACTTTATTCTTCTCCCAGATGACAGGATATTCCTCCTCTTCCTGACACTTATGTAGCACCCACAGCATTTCACTATAACTTCTTTGATTTATAGCATCCCTACTACGAGAACTAAGTTCTGGACTAGCTATGTTACTTTGCTTTTATTGCAGTTTACAGAGCAGATGGCTTTAAGCTGTGAACATCCTATCTGGTGTTTAATCACCGAGGGTGTGGTTCAGTCAGTGTTTTGAGCCAACTTAAGGGGGAAATCCTGTCTCTGAATTACCATTCCTGCCCTCTTCCCTGTAGCAGTAGTAAAGTCTCTGGTCCTGGGTTAAAAATTAACCCTTCCACACCCCTGAGAATATTAAAATTAAGTCTGACTGATCCCTGATCTGCTTTGCTCCATGGTCACCCCAGTTATTGTCCCTACACAGAGAGCAGTACGTGAAAAAGCAAGAGAGGAGGGAGGGTACAACTGTGTTTTTTAGTTAACCACCCATACTTAGTTCCAACTTAAAGTAATTATTGTTTTGAGCTTCATGGTCATTTAGAAACAGTTGAGTCTAGACTATCTCTATGTGTCTGTAAAATGGGCAGAGACAATATTTCTTCAAGTGACTTGGAGGCTGTTATGGAAGGACTGAGTAGAGAGCCATAGCCTGGTCTTGGATAAGCAATGACTAGGTAAATTCAGACATGAAACTTGCTGAAATGATAACTTGTACAAATTCAAATGACTTGCAAACTGCCAGAGTGTTGCAAATGGTCTTGGTGCAAATGAAAATCTGCTTCAGCAGTGTCAATTTTATAGCAAGGTGGAGCTGACATTCAAGATGTTATTCTTACATCATGTGAACTCTGTTTCTCCTGCTGCCAGCAGTGCTGTACTGACTGATGGGTCAGCTTTCCCCTCTCATAGGTGGAATCGTCGCAGGAAGCCAATGCTGAAGTCATGAGAGAGATGACAAGGAAACTGTACAGTCAGTATGAGGAAAAAATGCGAGAAGAGGAGCAGAAGCATAAAGCTGAGAAAGAAATCCTCCTAGTACGTATAGCCAGTTTATAAAGAGTGGTGCTTAGCTTGGGTGTTTTTTCTCAAAAACTTAACACTCCAGAGTTGACATGTGTTCCTTCACTCCTGTCTGTTGACTAGTCTTGCCACAGTTACTAAGCTTTCCAAGCTTTTGGGGCTGTATGGCTGGGAAAATAATGTGTTCAACACAGCAAAAGTAATGATAGTGTAGATGTAAAAATTTGAAATGGAGTAAGTGAGGGTTTTAACTTCTGATCCTCTAAAAAAAGGAAAATATAGTGTCCAATTTCAGTAATAGTTTAGGAAGGGGAGGGGAAACAACTTCACTGGATGCTGCTGGCACAAGAACTCTTCCTCTCCCCTGGTTTCCCTCCACCCCTAAGTAAAAGTTTCCTACAAGCAGTTTGTCCTTGCATTTTTCTAACTGATAAAGATAGATAATGGCTGAGATTGAAGGTAGATTCCACAGCCTCCTTCTATTCAAAATGTTTTATATATGCAGGAAGTACAAAGTTCTGAAGAGAACAAAGTAGCAAACCTCAGTGTTTAAAATGCTATCTTCTGCAACAACATATTTTTCTTACGCTGTTACTTCACAGCATCCTCAGAAGGGAAAACTAAGAAATGGGTAAAAGTTTTTCTCAGATTTTCATAACGATGTATTACAAATACCTATGCACTTCAATGTGCCCCAGATCTTTTGTTGTATACAATTCACATTTAGGGTCACAACTCTTCCAGACTTCTGGGCAGGTGTAGTGAAAAGCTGTGAGCTCTGCTTAAAAGCTATTAGCCTGGCTGTATGGCCTAAATAATTTTAAAAAATCCTCATTAATACACTGTATGTTCATGTGACTGTAAATGTTCTGATTTAAAGGAGGAGACGAATCGGCTTCTGAAGGCCATTGAAGAGGCAAATAAGAAGATGCAGATTACAGAAACAAGCATACAGGAAAAAGACCAGAGAATTGGTGAGCTCGACCGGCTGATTGAACGCATGGAAGAGGTATGAGAGTTAGGTGATTGCTGCCTTTAAAGGAAATTCACCACTGCATGGAGGAGATTTTTTTTTATCTGCTGCTCAGTGATATGCCATTGCTGTTTGCATCTTAGTTATGTTATCCATGTAAGTAAATGGGCCTGGACTACCACGGAAACACTGTGATTAAGAGGTTCTTCTAACTTTCTAGTTTTCTTTACAGGCAGGGCTGCCTAAGCTGTGAAAATGTATGTAGTAAATTAGCCAGTATTTTAAAGAAAGCATTTAAAAAGACCATTCAGTCTTCCTTCACTGTGCATGATTTCCTAAGCCTAATGAAGTAGTAATCCCAAATGATCCAAAGTCTCTTAGAAATGCTGTTGGTAGGTCCATTACAATGTGTTTTAGTTAGGACTAGACCTTGCTATTTAGCTATTCATAGTCCTGACTATGAATGTATCTCCAAATTCAGACTAAAATGTTTTTTAAAAACATGATGTTTTAAAAACTTCATCTGGGCTTCAGCCTACAGCTTGCAAGTATTATGCAGTGAATAAATAATTGCAGTGTAGTTCTTAAGTACAGATGAGTTTGCTCACGTTGGTTATTTAATTTGTTTGTATCTGGCTGGTACTTGCAGAGTAAAACTGAATATCTCTTAAATTCTCATTAAAGTGAATAGCAGACTCCTCTGTTAATTTGTGTTGACTCAGTCCCTAAGTCCTCACAGATCTTTGAGTACTGTGCTGATGGACACCTCAAAAATAAACGTGAATATTTTGGGGAAGAAAATAGAGCAGTACATTTTATCTCAGCCTTGGATTGAGAGATCTTTTGGAGGAATAACATGGAAAATTTGACATTTATATAGTTAAAGATTATGATGACTCAACTCTTTATTCAAAATATCAGTTTCAAGTACAATGTACACCTTCGAATAGGAAATTGGAAACGTTGATCTTATTCCTAAGGATAGCTGGGAATGTGATTTTATTATTACGCTTTCTGTGCTCCTTAGCTGTAGGAAGTGCATGGGTTTTCTTTAATCAGTTTCTATTTTAATTTCATAAATGATCTTTTGAATTGCAATGAAATATGCTTTGTAAAGCCTTTACGTTTTAACACGTGGAGAACTGAAGGATAACATTTCGTGTTTAGGAACGTCACCAGCTGCAAAAACAACTTGAACTAAATGAAATACAAATATCTGGAGCAAAATCTGAAAACAACTCTGACAGTGAAAGGTGAGATATGTCTTGTCTGCGGAACTTCTGGTATTTCTAGGAAACTTTAGGGGTGGTTTGTTTTTGAAGACACCTGAATTTTACAGTTGCTAACTTTCAAACTGCAGTCTGGTGTAGTTTAAAATCAAAATGTAATTTTATTCACATAGAAAATATACAGAAAATATGCAAAAATATATAGTTTTGCAACAAAAAAACACTTTCATGCATCTTTTTTGAAAAGTTGTTTGCAAACATGCAGAGTACGTTTTAGATGGAACAAGTTGCGACGTATTTGTGGATTGCATTTTCTTAAATCTGCATTCCCGAATTCAGAACAGTATGACCCTGACTGAATACTTTCATTATCTGCTCCTAGACTGCTCAACACAGTTTTAAAAGAAAAGACATTCTGTATGCTGAATTAAGCTGTAGGACATCCCCTCTGAAAGGAGCAACTCTTAAAGGAAGCAAGTTTTGCATATAACTGCCAGAGGTGTCTTTGTATCAAAGAGGGAGACTGGGGAATATGTTTAAGGCTCGGAGGGCCAGGTCTACACATGCAGTGCACATTAACATATGCACATGAACAAAATGAAGGTGTGGAAGAAATCTGTCATGTAGCATCACAGTGCAGAAATCAGCTATGAAGTTATTTGGGGAAAATGAGGGTGAACTTATTGGAAATGAGACCTCTGTGGATGGCTGTTCTCGAAAGCATGAGGCGTAGAAGCAAGATCTAGTAGTGTGGTGGCACCTGGATGTGCTATTTTTGCCCACAGGTGGCATGTGCATCCATCACTACTTCTTTGAGACTGACAGAGCACCATGACCAAGCAAATAAAAGCTTCAAGCGCACCCAGAGGCAAAGGCAAACCTATCCAGCACTGAAACAGCATAACTGCCGTTGCAGTGAAAATTGCATCTGCCACTCAAATGTTTATGTGACACTACTTGAGTGGGTAAAGATGAATTATAAGCAGAGAATGAATAATTGTACTTGATTACTGCTTTCATTTCTGTGGCATGCAGAAATTCAGCGTTAAGGTTTTAGCATCCCACTGTTCTGTAGGAAGCATAAACATAAAAGGTGGTCCCTGCTGAGAGAATCTCAGTGCCCAGTTGTATTGACCTGTGACCAGCTTATCCGGTTTCAGTGTAATAATGGCTCTTCACAGAGCCTGTTAAAATAATAATTTAAAGTGAACAGATGTCACATACAACATAGAGTATGGAGATAAAAGATAATTGCTTTCTTTCTTTACCTCCGGATAACAGATACTCTTCCCACTTCAGTGAATTCTGCCCTGTCCACTCAGCATGAAAAGTTACACTGCAGTAAAAAGGGTAAAGGCAATGTTGAGACAGGAATTTGTGCAGTGCAAGCAATGAATCTGTGCTCAGATGCTGAAGTCTGTTCTTAAGTTCTCTTGACCTGTCTGCACCCAACCAGACACTTGAGCTCCACCTGAGGAAGGACCTCAGTTCCATTGCTATCAGGCTTAAAATTCCCAGTCTTTCAGAGATTGCCGTTTCCTGAGACCTTATAATGTGCAGGATTGAAAAACCTGCAGCAATGCCTTGATTTTTTTGTCAAAGTGCTGCAATTACAGCTCTGTAGAGTACTTCACTGTTAATCGAGACTCTTTCTGGGAGGAAACAGCATACAATTCAGTCTTTCATTGGAATCATGTCATACAGTTTGCCATCTGCTGCTTTGCCTTAGAATGGTCGTTCTATTTGCAACTTCAACAGTTTCTTCTGCTGTGCACAGTCCAAGATGAAAAAAGCCTTTTTATTTTTGATTCCCCTCCTCCACTTCTCAAATTCTATCATGTCCTGAACCTAGGAGTACAGAAGTTTATTTTGTAAGGACGTGATTGCTTTATTTGAGGAATTTCAAGAATTTTACATTCAGATAAAAATGGAGACTCCCATGGCCAACATGCCAAACACTTATTAAAAAGCTCCCCTCCTGTTTCTTGGTACATTTGAAAACTACTTTTCTGGCAAGCTGTCAAACCAACTTGTGTCAGGATTTCTGTGCGTGTGGATTTCTGTGTTTAACAGATTTGAAGAAATGCAGAATCTATCTAAAGAGTCACAAATACAAACTTAAAACATCCACAACAATTCCTGCTACTACTTCAGTTAGCGTTCTCCTGCTGTTGGCAGCTATGCCAAATCCTTGATTCAAGGCTTCCCTGTACTGGGAGAGATTTTAGGAGGATGCCAGCAGATGTGCTCCATGGCTTTTATTTAGCATGTTTCTCCAAAAAGTTTGTAGGGGATAATAAGTCAGGATAAATCTGTCTTTCTGCTGATAAAGGTCTAGTTGTCTAAGTGCCTTTCACTTCAAGGAAAAACAGACATCTTAAGGAGATGGGCTTTGTCACGTTGTCTAACTGTCAGCACTTCAGGCTCTGAGTAAGCACACCAGTATGGAAGGCAAAGGTGAGTTAACTTGGGTGGAGACAGCCACTTGGACTAAAAGACTACCATTAAAATGTACTTTGCACAAATTGACATCTGCCAGTGGAATTTGACTTGCCTACCTCTTCACCTAGGCTCCCTGATTTATGGTGGGGCTGCAGGGGTTCTTGTTGTGCTTGCACTGCATAGCTCCCCACTTACATCCTTAATTCTTCGTGTTCTGCTAGGTCGCAGCATTTGGAGGAGGTAGCAGCTAGTCTAAGGGAGCGAATCAAACATCTGGATGATATGGTCCACTGCCAACAGAAGAAAGTCAAGCACATGGTTGAGGAGGTGAGATGTAGTAAAACAATTCTGAGTCTTTGGGGAACACTGGTTCTTTCAGTACGCAATCCAGAGACAGCTCTGTTCCGTGTGACATTTCCTTATGCCACCTTAGTTACAAACCCAGTGGGAGATAAGCATCTGGAGCTAGTGAAGCAGGAAGACTAGGTGAAAGCAGTTTCATCCAGTGGATGTGAGTTCTATACTATGATCTTTAGGCTGACACTAATTCTGGAAGTTTTCATGGTAGTCCAAGAAATCCAACACACAACTTGCAATTTAATCTGAAGAATTCGGAGGGCAACTGTAGAAACAATACAGCCTAGTCACTGAGGGTCTCCTTCCTGTCCAGAAGTGGGAGGCAGAAACTGCCCTTTTTTTTTCTGTTTAATGTAGTTCCTCACAGAAACAGAGGTGCAAACAGTTTTTCACCGCTCATCTTTTTTACTCTGGTCTTGAGACGTCACCTTAGCTGATATAATTTCCTGCAAAATTTCAAGGGGCTTTCTGCTGGAAAGCTGCTTCACGTTACAGGCTACTACATGCCAAGAAACTGTTTAGCAGTCAGAAAGCTGTGATTGCATACACTTGTGTAGATGAAAGGATGACGTGGGACACAGGAAAATTAAGGTTAAATTGGAGCTTTACAGAGCAGACTGACAGCAGATATTACAGTGAGCCTTGCTATTGCACAGAGGATAGGCATTCATGAAATGCCTTTTATTTGGGTGTGGACATCACACATTCATAAAATCAAATGGTTTAAAAGCATTTTAACCTAAGGCATTCTTTCTGCATTCACAGTGTGCTAGATTAGGATTTCTGATTTGACATAGGATTTTTGCATTTTTATCAAGGTGGTAATTTTAGGTATATATAAGACCTATATTTATATATATATATACACCTATATCTGTTTTATTTTATAAGATTCTGGTGCAGTCCTGCTGTATGATCAGATCTGTGACACTAAGTGTCTTTTACAGAGAGGGATGCAGAAGTATCTGTCTCTTTGCATTAAAGTTCTTCTGTCACATCATCATTATAGAAGACTGATACAAAGTACTGTTTCTAGTTTTGGTTTGTTTCTAGTTCAGCTTGCCATTTTCACTGTCTTCAAGCATCACAGCAGGTGGTCTAAAACTGAGCCAACAATCTTTACACTATGGTATTCTGTTAAGGGGAACGTCTCAATCTAACAATCCAATCCATCTAATTAATTGATTATGGGAACAATTATTTAATCTGTTTTGTATCTCTGTAAACCAACTATCATACTATGAGCCAGCAGTTCTAAAGGACTTGTCACTTCGTGATACTTGTGGCAGTCCAGATGATTCTTGTAATATGTAAGAGCATGGTGGCCTAAACTTCACCTTTTATTACTAAATGTATTTTAAACTGCTCAGTGTAACTTGGCCTCTAGTGGGCTGCATTGGTTTAAAAACCACTTTCGATTCCATGTGGTGTTTTGGCAAAAACATGTCTAAAGCTTGGGTCAATGATTACTATTCTATGAAATATCAAGCTTAATGGGTGGGTTTAGTTTGCTGATTCCTTGTAATGTATCCCTGCTGGTGAGATCTTCATATACACAGAAAGCCATTCTACATCTTTCAATTATCCTGTTGAACAAGTAGAATGATAGATGACCAACTCACTACTTAGCTCTCTTCTTCAGTCCTCATGTGTTTTGTTTTTTTCTTTCATTCTGCTTCCTTGAGAACTTCATGAACACCTGTAGCTCCATCTGTATTTTCACTCGTGAGCTAACTAAAGACTCCTGTAGCAGAGGTTTGATGAGGTCAGATGGTACCAAATACATTAGGCATTTCATGTTGTTTGGGGTTTTTTAAAATTTTTTAAAAATTTTGTTCTATCCATGGTTTGTGTTTGTACTGTGTTTGAGGAAATAACTACAATATAGTTGGCGTGCATTATTTTAAACTGGACTCTTTTAATTAAAGGCCTAAAAATAGCAGCTTTAGTAGTACAGAGAAGAGTAGCTGTTCACAACGGGAGAAGATAGTGACTGCAGGTGTCTATGTCCTGAGCTGTCCATGCATGTGGCATTTTTCATGACTTTGTGCTTTTCTCTATGGAAATATTAGAAAAGTATTTTTAGGCTCACTTTTAGCAACACTTACTAACTATGCCATAGAAGCTGAGAAATCTGCAACAAAAGTACTTCTTAAAAGGTAGGCTGCTGAAAAGGAATGCTGTGTGAAGAGTCTGTTCTGGAGTTAAGTTAAAAACTACAGAGCAGCAGCACTAAGCATACTTTCTAGAGTAAATAGGGAAGATTTTGTAATTGTGCTATTATTTAAGTCCTAGAAAATTTGTTCATCAGGGTATATTTGAACACATGGCCTCTCCACACTCAGTTTAGCTGAATGCAGAATGGAGTGGTTAGGAATATGCAGGAAGTGTCATGAAAACCTGCCACGTTACTCATTATTGCAATACTTGGCTGGTATCATTAAAATAACATTCCATCTTGGGGTTTGCGAGTGTATTATAATGATCAGTAACTTGCATTTAAATAATATAATTGAGAAAGAATGATCAAAGCAGCTAGAAAGCCTGCTTTCTGAGATGCTTAGCTTCTCTGTTGCATGAGAACAGACTGAGAACAAGCTAAACTGGGAAACTCGGAAGAGAAGTGGAAAGAAAGTAAATAATCAAAAAATTATCAGCAGTGCTTTTGTTAGAAGCCGAAACAAAGCTACCTTATGAACTGGGTGAGAATGATGGCTAAGCTTATGCTTGCTTGACTACAGGATGAGCTTTATTTAGTATTAATCTTAGTATATTCAGACACACATCTGAAGTATAAATGAGTTTACTCTTTCAGTGTAAACCACAACAGGTTTATGCTGTTATCTCTAATTCAGACAAAGTGCAGCTGCAGAAATGAACATCATTTCAAAGGGGTGCTGAACAAACAAGGTACACTGCTTCCAACTCAGATGGAGAACTGTCAGAATTGAACAAGTACTGAGATGAATCTGCTGGCTGAAAAATCACAAAATAGATTGTTCTTCAGGCCTTCAGACATGGATGCTGGCAGAGAAGCACCTGATGTAGGAGGCCATGGAGGAAGAGTATTAAAGCCTTCCATTTCACAGGACCCATCTTGTTGGTACCGAAATGCAGTAGATCTGCGACCTGTGGAATTGATCCCAGTCAGAGAAGGACAATCACAATTCAGTGTGCTTTATACTGCTTAGTGAAGAAATCATTTGCTTCTAACTTATTTTTTCTCTGAAAATAGATACTTCCATCCCAGGCATTAATAGAACCTTTTTCAACTTGACCTAGTCAGAGCAATCATAAATTAAATAGGAGCACGGAAAATAACTTTCAGAAGAAAATAAATGGAAGAAATAAAATGGAAGTTTGCTGGAGTCTGTGGACCTTCAACATCGCTGTGTGTTACATCCCACACATGCCCATTTTGCAGCCTTGTAGGGATTCTCTGCTGTGAGAGTCAGGATCACAGCCTGTTAGGGCACCAGCTAAGCAGGAAGTTATCCTGCATAGTCTTAAAGCCTCATCATCTTGTTAGAGGTTGCAGATGATTTAAGGCTGACAGATTTATCCCTGTGTTGAACCTGTTTGTTAAACAAATCTGTTTGTTCCAAGCTCAGTGCAGTGCATTTTGCACAAAGTGCTGGCAGTTGAAAGTACAGGACCTGCATTTGGCAGGTGTGTAGCAACCCTGCCCTTTTCTTGTACTATTTGTACAAAAAAGAGAAGAGGCAGATGGCCAGAGTGGGTCACCCAGAGCTCAGTGGTGAAATCCAGGCATGGTTTTGTTTGTTTTGGGGGTTTTTTGTTTGGTGGTGGGATTTTTGGTTTTTTGGGGGTTTCTTTTAGCTGTTGCCTTTGTAGCTATCTTAAAGTATGGCTGGGAAGAGAGGGACTTGCAAAGACAATCCAGGAAAAAGCAAGTTGGATCAGAGGAAGAATTTGCGGGGGGACTCGCAGCATGAAAGGTGGAGGCATTAAAACTTCAGGCCCTTCCACTAAGGAGTTTCCAATGCAGAGATGGAATTGGGCAGGCAGATGCAGGCACAGAGACACTGTGGGAGGGCATGGGAAGCTGCTACCACACTGTTTCTTTTAGGGTTGAAATTGCTGTTGTTCTGTGAGAGGGGTAAAAGCTTGTCTTTTACGTTATCTATTTGGTATGGTCAACCAGTTTATCCTGTCTGTGCCAGTACAGGAGATGGGAAAGTGTTTAGTGTAAGATGAAGGTAAAAGTCTTCAAATGAAATACAAAACATTGATTCTAAATTGGCAACAAGTTATTTCCTGACTTGATCTCAATTTCAAACCTGAGGAGGTTTCAGAGAGCTTTATTTTTGAGATTTGTGCAATTGACTTTGAAATGGGTTACAGTTTTGTGGCATGATAAGCTTATTTTATGTGTAATATTGTTGCATTGTTGAGAAGCAGGAGAAGGAAGGAAATAAGCATTTACATTCTGTAATCAAGGCCAATGGGTTGATGTGGATATAGGGAGGTGTTCTGAAGGGGTTTAAGAAGAGAAAAGGATATTTGATTCCATGCCAAGAAATTATCTACAGAACTCGGATTTCAAATGAAATTCCCCTAACTACTGAATTGAACTGTCTCTAGGTCATGGCCCATGAGCTGTTCTCCAGCTTTAGTCTCAGATTTGTTGGATAATAAATGGGGACCAAACACCAGAGAGAACCTGTATCCTGTTCTGTTGTGGAAGATACTTGCATGGAAGGACAGAGTGCTAATGAGCAAATGATATCTCAGATGCAGAAGATACTTTGCATTGCCCACATGGGGAATTAAGAAGAAATTTTCCCACCACAGACTTAACCAGCCGAAAATTTTCTGTATCAAGATACTCCAACTCCAGATATATAGCAAAATATCCCAGTTTTAATATGGAAATACAGTTTCCATTTTGAGTCAAGTAAAAGATGCCACACTGAAGCATAGAGGATGAGAAGATGGAATTACCAGCC